GGAAATTGCTTACAGCCACAAAATCATTAAACAGTGGGGTCATAATTCACACAACAGGGCAGTCTTCTGACTGCAAAGCCTATGTTCTTTCCGCCATAGACCATGGTTCCACTTTGGGTCTGCAAAATGAACAGGTTGGTATGGGTGGCACTTCTAACAGTGACATTCTGTCTTCTACATTCTGATATCCTCAGGTCTAAGTTCTAAGGTCCCTTCCAGGTCAAACTTTGTGTATTCTTTATTTTGTTTTATTTTTTAAAATTAATTTATTTTGATTTATCAATAATCACTTCCATAAGCTTTGAATGTTAAATTTTTCTCCCCCTCCCTCCCCAAGACAGCGCACAATCTGATATAGGCCATACATATACATTCCTATTAAACATATTTTCACATTAGTCATGTTGTAAGGAAGAATTAGAAACAATAGGAGGGACCACCAGAAAGAGGAAACAAAACAAAACAGAAGAAAGAAAAAGAGCAACTAGTATGCTTTGATCTGCATTCAAACTCCATAGTTCTTTCTCTGGATATGGATAGCATGTTCTATCATGAGACTTTTGGAGATGTCTTAGATCCTTGTATTGCTGAGAAGGGCTAAGTCTATCAAAGTTAGTCACTGAACAACATGGCTGTTACTGTTCTGCTCACTTCGCTCAGTATCAGTTCATACAACTCTTTCCAGATTTTTCTGAAGGCTGCCTGCTCATCATTTCTTATAGCACAGTAGTATTCAATCACATTCACATACCACAACTTGTTCAGCCATTCCTCAAATGATGGGCATCCCTTCAATTTCCAATTCTTTGCCACCACAAAAAGAGCTGCTATAAATATTTTTTTGTACACGTGGGTCCTTTTCCCATTTGTATGATCTCTTTGGGATACAGCCCTAGAAATGCTATTGCTGGGTCAAAGGGTATGCACATTTTTATAGCCCTTTGGGCATAAACTTTGTGTATTCTAAAGTTCCTTCCAAGGCTGACATTGCAGGTTATATGTACTAACATCTAATATTTATTCCAAGTTCCTTTCCAGATTCAAGATCCTGTTTTCCAAGATTTCTCCAGCTCTATCATTCTATGTTGCATCAAGCTCTGTTTTAAGGTCTCTTTCAGGGACGATTTGTATTCAAATGTTTAGTGTTTTAAGGTCCTTTCCAGTATTGACAGTCTGTTCTAAGGTCTCTCTCAGATCTGAGATGGCATATCCTAAGGCTCCTTCCCACTCTGACACTCTATGCTATAAAATTCTATGTTCTAAGACCTCTTATGGGTGTAATATTTTATGTTTTTCATTAGAACATCCCCTCTTCTAAAGTGCCTCCCAGCAGTGACATTTTGTTCTAAGGTTCCTTCCATCTATGTCCTATGTTCTCAAGTTCCTTCCAATACTAACATTATGGTTTTTATTTTTTTTAACACATTTTATGTTTTTTCTCCAGTCCTATGGTGCCATGTCTACCCTCAATGGTCCTTTAATGATCACTGACATCATCTACAGATTCTGCAAAAAAACAAAAAACGAAAACAAACAAACAACAAATACAAGACGAAACAAAACCTTTTGAATTGTATTCATTAAGAGCAGCCAGATAAGCTTTTACTTTTTTGGAAGTCACTGGGGAATGCTTAGAGATTGGTCAGACATCAAAGATGCCAAGGTGATCCATGGCATCCTGGGCCATCTATAGTCATCTTGACTTTTGTCCTGCCACTGGACAGAGGAATAGAAAGTAAGGCCAATGATTTTGGAGAAATTCTGCCTCACTTAACTCATTTGACTTGTGGATGAATTGGGTTTAGATGAGGCAGAGTTTTGAAAAGATGTCAGCCGATTAAATCCAATTCATGTGTAAGTCAAGACTTCATCCGTGATGTCATCGGTCCTCTTTGAAAATGAAGGATGAATGGGGCAGCTAGGTGGTGCAGTGGATAGAGCACCAGCCCTGGATTCAGGAGGACCTGAGTTCAAGTCCAGCCTCAGACACATAACACTTACTAGCTGTGTGATTCTGGGCGAGTCATTTAAACCCATTGCCTAACCAAAAAAAGAAAAAGAAAATGGAGGATGAACAACAACATTGTTTTAATGTCTCTTCTAGGTCTAAGATTCTATTTTTTTTTTAATACTTTGGCTTTATTATTATTGTGGCTTCTGCTTTTCCACATAATCACTTGTAGGTAACAGGGCTCAGAGAGGACTGGTCAGAATGGATAGTTTCCCTAAGCAGCCACAAGAGCTTGTTCAGTTTTCTCCTTTGCAGCGCTGGAGAGTCAGGGTAAGTCTGAGCTCACAACAGGAGTTAGCAGACAACTGTTGCTGTGGAAGACGTGACATTGGTTGGATTTGTGCTGATGTTTGTCTAACTTCCCTTGCCATTCATGTTTGATTCCTTAGAGGGCATTAGGCTTGAATTGGCTGGAAGGATTGCTCCTGCTGCACTTCAAAGGTCAGGCTGATAGAATAGCTTATTCCATCATCACCAACTGAAGTTACTAGGACTTAGACTGGCTGATGAGCCTCCAGCCTTCTCGGAATGCAGAAATGTCTGGGACAACACAAAGGTCTTTACACATTTGTACATAGTTTAAGCTTCTACATCCCCAAACCAGACATTTGGAGTAAAATTCTATCCTGTAAATTCTAGCATCACTGCATTCTACTACCATTCAACTGAAGACTTTCTACAACAGGCACAGACATTACTAGAGCATGAATGGGTTCCCTGCCCTCATAGAATGTAAACTGCCTTATCTCTACTAATGATTGTCCATAGAGGTCTATCATTTGTCATGTCTTTATCTGGTTCTTTAGGGCATGGAGCAGCTTGAAATTGGATTATTCTTTCTTGGGAAAGGCACAAATGAATTCTTTCTGTATCCTTAAGACACAATGCACATTTCTGTAGCTGTGACACTGGATGATCTGCACCTAGTAATGCAGTCTGTTTATCAACTTTTTGAATTATCAGTCTTGGGAGTGCCATGCCTGTAACCGAACACACAAATTTGACAGCCTGTTCGTAATGGATATAGCTGTCTCTCATTGTGAATTCTTCTCCTTCTGCTTCATCATCTTCTAAGAGATGAACATAAAATGCTTTCCACTGTTATGAGCTGGCACGAAAATGCCTTCCTTCTACACGTAAATATCTGATGCTGACCGTAATCTAGGGCAACTAAAAATGTCACTTTTGTTCTTGAAGCTATGCGTAAGTTAGCACTTTTCAATGATTGCTTCTTTTTAAAAGGTTTGGAGATGACTTGGATCTATTCACTGAAGAACACACCGATGTTAACACTGTTACCATAGAACAGGGTTGGGGAACCTGTAGCCTTCTGGGTCCTCAGGTGCGGTTTTTTTTGACTGAGTCCAAGTTTTATGGAACAAATCCTTTTATTAAGGGGATTTGTTCTGTGAAGTTTGGATTCGGTCAGAGCCACACTTGAGGACCTAAAAGGCTACATGTGGCCTCGAGGCTGCAGGTTCCCCAGCCTTGCCGCAGAACATTTTTACAGACAACCTGAAATGATGTCCCTTGTCTGAATCAGCTTTATGCAGTGTTTTGTTTGGGCAATAATTCTTTCCTTCCAAGTTTAACTGCTGCATTTCTTGGTTGCTAGTTCATATTCCACTAATGCACATGGTTGAGGTTCTCGTTCAGAAGAACCCTCATATTCCATTAGCTCTTTCTCCCCTTCCATCCACTGCCCATAAGATATACGCAAGGAGGAGGACAAAAAACCTCTTTTTCATTTCCATAAGACTCTTGTGCACCTTTGGAGTGGAGGATTAGCACGGTTTGATCATCTCACTCCTTTAGATAGTTTCACATTGCTTCTTTAGTGAGTTGTTTAGGTTGAAGCTGTTTACCAAATTTCCTTTGAATCAATGCCCCAGTACTTCAAGAACACATTAAGATGAGCCACAGCTCAGCACATTTCTGCTGCACCTCAAAACACCTCAGCCTGTCTATCATTCTCCTTTCCTTTGGAGATCATAATGGCTCCTAAGAACTATAATGCTTCCGTTTCAACATCGGTCTCACACAAAATTTCAATAACTTAAACAGAAGAAAGAAATACATTCCTTCTTGGTGTGAAACCCAACATCACTGGACAGGTTAAGATGATCACCTCGTACCCAAAGCCCTGAGACATCTTCTTGGATGCTGGAGTGTCAGGAAATACTGACCCTCTTGTTTGCTCTCCTTCCAAAACCCCACAGCTCAAGCACTATGATGTAATGGAATGGTCTGCCTAAGAGGGTCAAGTTCTTTTTCCTTTCATAGTGTACCTCCAAGGAGCTTCAGAGAAGAGTCTAACTTTTTTACCTTTTAAAATGCCTTCTATTCTAAAATTTTCCCCAGCTGTGACATTCTGTGTTCGGAGATTTCTTCTACATGTAACATTCTGTTTCATGTTGTCACGATTAGTGTTCGAAGGTCCTTGGTAACATCTACATTCTATGATGTGATGATCTCTTCAAGGAGTAACATTTTACATTTTATGTTCTAACTTCTTTATTCTTAAGCGAGTCTAACATTCTCATTAAGTGAGTCTAGCCTTCTCTTAAGGCTCCTGCCAGCTTTAACATTTTATCATCTTATATTGTGTCTAAAGTGTCCTTTCCAGCTCTTTTGTTCTATGATTTCATCTCTGCCTATACTTGCCAGGAGCTGCCTGGCACAGAGGATGAGGACTCCATCCAGCTGTTGTTCCCTGGTATGGCCTGAAGGTGACTTGCTGCACACTTGGCCAGGTGGAAAGTAGAAATGTTTCAGCCAAATTAAAAAATTCCACTGATGCCATCAGTGTAATGTTTTTTTTTTCTTTTTTAAGATAATGATGAAACTAAAAGGTTAGATTGCTAAAGTAGGTGGGAGGATGAATGTAAAGGGATACTTCCTCTTGAGCAAAAAAGAAAATTTTTTTGAGAAAGGTTTATCCTTTAGGGAAGACTTCAGGGCCTCAGTGTAAAGACCAGACTGGAGAGGGTTTGACTCTGAGGCCCCGGTAAGGTGGGGGATTGGTTGGCATGTGTCCATCACAGCCCGGAATGCCCAAGAGGCAGGCATTGAAGACCCTGGCCCTAGAGCGAACAGAATTGGATGAGTCCGGGGAGGCAAGGACACCACATGGATGAGTTCCCCTTGGGCATCTCTCCTCACCCTGCTCCCTGCTCCCACTTCCCCTCAGGCCCAGCCAATTCAGCACCCCTCTCTCTGCGTTTCCAGCAAACTACAGCTCCCAGCATTCTCCAGCGCCCAACACCTGCCCAGGCCTCCTCCACTTGGGCTGCAGGGGGAGGGATACAGAAGAAGAGCGCAGAGAGATGAGGATGGAAGCGGGTGGGGACGTGCAGGCGCCGGACGGGGACAGGGGGTCCCACGCGCCGTCCATTGTCCCAGCGACCGGGCCGGGCCTCGGGGGAACCGCGGCCCGAGCCCCGGGCAGCTGGGGCAAGTGGGTCAGGCTCAACGTGGGGGGCACGATCTTTCTGACCACCCGGCAGACGCTGTGCCGCGAACAAAAGTCCTTCCTGAGCCGTCTTTGCCAGGGGGAGGAGCTGCAGTCCGACCGGGTAAGGCTGGGCCAGCGGGGCCGCAGGTCCGGGCGCTGCTCGCGGTGGGGGCGCGCCTTTGTGAGTGTGCTCTGGCGAACGAATGTGTGTGTGTGTGTGTGTGTGTGTGTGTGTGTGTGTGTGTGTGTGTGTGTTCAGGAGGGAGAGGGCGCCTCCTTTCTGCCCCCGCAGTCCGCAGCTGGGGGCCCCCTTCTCCCCTTGCCACCCACCTACCGACTCAGGACAATAACATAACCCCTCCTCCCTTCCTTTTCACATGAAACCGGAGGCGGGGAATCGTTGGGAAGCCAGGGCTGGGGGCTGTGGTGGGGGCTGGGGAAAGTGGCATGCTATTTCCTTCTCCATGGCAACCCTGTCGCTGGCAGAAGGCCCCAAACCATTTGGGAGAAAGTAGCTCATTCCTTTCCAAGCTGTTTCCTTCCTCTTTTCCTCCGTCGGCCAACACCCCCCCCCATCCTCTCCTCCTCTCCCCCAGAGCTGTTGGAGGGGGGGAGGGAGGTCCTGAGAGATAAAGTGACTAAGAATGTGTGGGAAGGGGAGGGGGTGCGCGCTGGTGCCTTTCTGGCCTTGACAGTTCACCCACCAACTCGCAAATGCCTGAGGTTGGTGCTTCCCAGTTTTTGCGGGGGGGAGGGATGCGGAAGAGGAGTCAGCCTGGGTCAGTTTGCTGCTACAGGAGAGCTTGGGCAAAAGATGGAGTAATAAGTAATAATCCCCAGTGGTGGGATCTGAATAGGGAAGGAATCTTTAAAGAGCATTAGCGCTGGAGTCTGGGCTCCCGAGTTCAAATTCCACCTCGGAGGTTTACTAGGGATGTAACCCATATGCAAGTCACTTATCTGCCTGGACCTCACCTTCCCAGTCTGGAGGGGATTACACTCAGTGACCTCTGAGGTCACTTCCAGTTCTGGATCAGATTATCCAGTCCACCCCCCTCTTTCAGTTTTACAGAAGTGGAAACTGAGTCCTCCCTTGGGAAAGTGGCTTGCCCAAAATTACATCGATAATTAGTAGCAGAGCCAGGAATTTGAAACCACATCTGCCCTAGAGGGGGACAGTGGAAAGAACCCAAGACCAGGAGGAGCCAGAACATCTCAGCCTTGGTCCAGGCAAAGCAGATCATCATTGCCATGACCTTGGGCAACTCACTCAACCTCTATGTTTCTGTTTCCTCCTCTGTAAAATGGAAATACAGGGCATCCCAAAAGTCAAGGTAGTTTTAAGCTTTAACTAAAGCTTAAACACCCTATATTAATGCCTCCTGTATTGGGGCTTGGGACTCCATAGAAATAAGGAAGGCAAGCTGTACAAATTCAGGTTATCAGGCAGCAGCCTTCCCTCTGGGAATGGAAGTTATGGATTAATGGAAAAGGGTGCTGGCTTTGAATCCTGCCTCTTCCATGTACTGTGTGATCTTGGGCAAATCACATACTGGCCTCAGTTTCCTTCATATGTAAAATGAGGGGGCAGGACTCAGTGAGTTCTAAAGTCCCTTTCAGGCCTCAATTTCAATACTTATGCCTGGGCCTCCCTGTGAAAAATGTCATCCTAGACTCATCCCTCTCGTATCCATCTCCTTCTCTACTCCAACACTGCCACCACCCCAGTCCAGGCCCTCCTCACCCCACTTCTGGACTATGGTAGTAGCCTGCTGCGTGGTTCATGTCTCAAGTTTCTCCCCATTCCAGATATCAAATGGACCTTCCCAAAGTCTCGTTCTGACCAAGTAACACCCCCCGAGTCAATAAATTGCAGTGGCTCCCTATTATCTCCAGAATCAAATGTCAAAGCCTTTGTTGGGCTTTTAGAGCCCTTCATGATCAGGCCCCTTCCCACCTTTCCCTTCATCATCCACCTGGACCTTCCATCTGACTCTGCGTATTTTCTCTGGCTATTCCCCCACCCTGGAATGCTCAGCCTCCTCACCTCCACCCCTGGCTCCCGGGGCTTCTTCCAAGTGTCAACTCTGCTCTGACTTTCTCCAGGAGGCTTTTCCTGAGCAGCCTCCACACCAGTGTCTTCTATGATCAGCTCCAGTTTGTCCTGTCTACACAGCTGTCAGACTTCAAGCTCCTTGAGGGCAGAACTGTCTTTTGCCTTTCTTTGCATCCTCAGCACTTAGCGCAGAAGAGGCATTTAAAAATGCTTGCTGACTGAGCTCTACAGATGGGGAACTGAGGCATACTCTGTGCAGAGACCTAGTCTAGGCACCGGGTATTACAGAAACCAGTAAGATGTGGTTCCTGATGCCCCAGGATCCTAGATCCTAGGGCTGAAAAGAACCTTAGAAGTGATCTAGACCATGTTCTCCATTTGACAGATAAGGCTACTGAGCCCCTGTGGTAAGGAACTGAATTAGGATTGAACCTGGTTTAGAATCTAGTGTTCTTCCCACTCTACCACAGTGGTGTGCTTGTGTGTGTGTGTGTGTGTGTAAGTTTCTGAGAGTGTGTGTTTGAGAATGCGCAAATGTGTGAGTGTGTGAATGTGTGTGTTTGTATGCCTCTGTGTGTGTGAGTGTGGATGAGTGTGTGAGTGTATATGTGTGCCTGTGATCATGTCATTTTTAAAATAGCATTTTCAGGGGGCAGAGGGAGCTGGAGAATCACGGAGGTGGGACGGATGCCAGTTACTTTCCTCATCACATCTTTCTGGCCCCTAGGATGAAACAGGAGCATATCTCATAGACAGGGATCCCACCTACTTTGGCCCAATCCTGAATTTCCTTCGTCATGGCAAGCTCGTTTTGGACAAGGATATGGCTGAAGAGGGTATGTTTCCAGCAGCCCAGAATTATTTCCTGTTTCCGATTTCCTCCCATAAATACTTGCTCTTGGGCCACTGCTGTATTGATTGGCCTTGGGACCCCAGAGCTATAACTAAGAATTTTTGTACCCCTGGGTGCATATACCTTACCTTAGACTAGTGGAATGAAAGGCAGTTTTTACTTGAATGGAGAATGGGACATTGCCCTGTAGGGGACAGCAAGAGACCCCAGAAAATGACCATTGGACTGCCACCGGGGAAGGAAAAGGGGAGCAATTCACCAGAGGACTGCAAGCATCCTCTGTGTCCCCTAAATTTGGTATCCACTCACCCCATTAAATACAGAACCTTTGGCAGCCCAGGTTACCTATCATCCCCTAGAATGGTCAAGAGTTCAAATCCTGGTATTGCTACCCTGGGCAAGCCTCTCATAGCTGATTTCAGGTCCTAGCTAGAGCTCAAAGGGACTTGGACCTCACAGGCCAGACCCCTCATTTTACTGGTAAGGAAACGGAAGTGTATAGAGGTGAAGTGATTTGACTGATGTCACATGGATAGGAAGCAGCATTGGTGAGATTTGAACCCAGGTCCTCAGACCTGCCCATCCTCATCTGTCAAAAGTGATCTCGAAAGTCCTTCAGCTTTCAGTCCCTGTGAGCCTGGGGGCTTGGGAGGAAGCCTGGGCCAGGCCTTGTTCTCCACTTCAGTCCCAGAAGGAGCTGCTGCTAAGCACCAGGCCCCAGATGAAGCACTCCCAGGAGCCCCAGGGCCCGGTGGCCCGGCACTGTCTGGGGAATGAGAGGCTGTAGGAGAGGTCAGCCACAAACAGATATGTCCAGGAGACCTGGGAGCTTCTGCCTTGGAAGAGGGCTTTTCCCCATTCCAAGCTTTGCCAGCTTCCTGGGAAAGCAGGTGATGGAGCTGGAATGCTTCCAAGGGCTGACCTGGGCTAGAGGAACGGGTGGGGATGGGCGTGGTGGAAGATTCTTTCTTTTCCCTCCAATTTCTCTGTTGGTTCAGAGATTGATTTGAATCCTGGGGTGGGGCGGTGATTGACACCCTGCCTCCCTTCTGCTCTGAATCCTGCCTATCCTAGTCATTATTTGGCTAAATCTGCCCCTCCCTGACTATATATCCTATCCCTTAAGGATGGCAGCTAGGTGCTCTACACATGATGTTTTGGGGGTAGAATTGGACCATGGCTCTCTAACTGGAAAGGACCTCACAGACCCTCAAGTCCTCTTTTGAAAGAGGAGGGATATGGGGCCCAGGGAAATGAATGACTTATCCAAGGTCACACAGCTAGTAAGCATCAGTCTCCTGTAATCTTAAGACTCAGGCAACTTCCAGATTGTCTAGTCTAGCTTCTTTCGACAGATGAGGAAACTGAGGCCCAGAGATGTGATTTTTTTAGGATTTAGAACAGGAATTTTTAACTTTTTATGGACCCCTTTGGTAGTCTCAGGAAACTCACAGACCCCCCTCAGAGAATAATGCATTTAAATAATTGAATGAAATGCTACATTGAAGTTAGTGAAAATGAAGGTGCAATTTTTTTTTTCCTCCATCTAGGTTCACGGGCTCTCTGAAATCTATCCATGGATTCCCACATAAAACCCTGATTTAAAAGTAATGAGAACTTTAGAGACCATATTGTCCAACTCCCTAATTTTAGAGATGGGGAAACTGAGGCATAGGAAGCTAAGTGACTTGCCCACAGTCACACCTAGTAAGAGCTAACATTTATATAGCACTTTGATATTTCCAAAGCACTTGATATATATTTTTGCATCTGAGCTTTACAACAACTGATGAATTTCTAGTGCTGAGATGGGTCCTATTACTATCCCCTTTTACATATGGGGAAACTGAGGCAGACAGAAGTTAAGTGACTTATCCAGGATCACTCAGCTATTAAGTGTCTAAGGCAGGATTTGAACTCACATCTTTCTGACTCCAAGGCCAGTACCCTATCCATTGTGCCACCTAGCTGCTCGGTAGTAAGTAGCAGAGGCAGATTTGAACACCAGGCTTTTGACTACAAATACAGTGTTCTTCCCCTGCTTCTTTCCTGGATTTAGAGGCACAGAACCTGGGTTCAGATCTTGACTTTGCTACTTACTAACTGTATGACCTTGAGCAAGTCACTCAGCTTCCCTGGGCCTCAGTTTCCTCATCTGTAAAGTAAAGGAATTGGACTCAGTATTTTCTTCAGTAGCTTCCAATTCTAAGTCTATGAGCCTATAAGCTTGTCTCCTTTGTGAGCTACAGAACCCAGGACAGCTCTGAACACTCTCCCTGAGATAGTCAGCATGCCATATTCTGTATGCACCGTTTTTATTTGACAAGCTCCTGTATTGTCTAAAATCTGAATGGTGCCCTTCAAGCTATTTCTTAGTAAGACAAAATCCCCTAAAGATCACAGCTGTACAAACACAGAAGGGGTTTCTGAGAAAGGTAGCCAACTCCCTTTTTCTCCTTGATCCTCAGTTTCCTCACCTGTAAAGGACCTCTGAGGTCTCTTTCAACTCTATGACCCTATGAAGTCACTTTCCCTCTCTGGGCCTCAGTTTCTCCATCTGTAAAATGAGAAGATTGGACTGGTTGGCCCTTGAGGTCCCTCCAAGCACCAGATCTAGGATCTTATGATGATTGCTTCCTTGCCCTCAGTGGCTTATTAGCGCGCTCTCTCTCTCTCTCTCTCTCTCACAGACACACACACACACACACACACTCACACACCTTGAGTGAGTCTTGGGACCCTAGGCACTAATTCCAGGGGGAAGAAATGCAAATGCTATCGGGCTGAGCCAACCCCTGTTTACATGCTCTGGGCTCCTGGGGACAGTTGCCTGGGGCGATCCCCAGCCTCCTGGTCTCAGCTCAGAGAGAACAGGCTGGGACTCCTTTATAAGGCAGGAAAGGCTACTGCGCTACACCTCAAGGTGGTGGCTCTGAATGGGGCTCCAGTGCCCAGTCTCTTTTATCCTAGGATTGGAGGTAGAAAGAGCCCTTATGTCTTATCACTGGAGAGCTTTTAAGGGGGAGCAGATGACCACCTGTCAAAGACTTTGTAAGAAGGATTCCTATTTGAGCTGGATGAACTTCTAGTGCTGAGATTCTGTGTCTGGGCCTTGCAGTTTACTAGCTGAAAAACCTCCCATTTTCCCCTTCATTTGTTGACTCTCAGTTTCCTTATCTGCAAAATGAGGATAATTTTGCACTGCCAACCTCATGGGGGGTTTTGTTAAGAAGGCATCACAGAAATATGAGGCATCCCAGGATTTCAGAAGCTAGACCTGGAAAGGACCTCAGAGAGAACATCAAAGCTACCTCCTTTTATGAAGGAGGAAACTGAGGCACGCAGAGGAGAAATAACTTACCCAAAGTCACACAGCTAGTAAATGTCAGATATGGGATTTGAACCCAGACCTCTCTGACTATAGAGTAAGGGTTCTTAACCTGGAGTCTGTGAACTTTTTTTTAATATTTGAATAACTATATTCCAATATACTTTGTTTCCTTTGTAATCCTATGTATTTTATTTTCTGCATTTAAAAAAAATTATTCTCCAAAGAAAGAACTATGGAGTTTGAATGCAGATCAAAGCATACTAGTGGCTATTTTTTTTTCTTCTGTTTTGTTTTGTTTCCTCTTTCTGGTGGTTCCTTCTATTGGTTCTAATTCTTCCTTACTACATCACTAATGTGAAAATTTGTTTAATAGGAATGTATATGTATGGCCTATATCAGGTTGTGCACTGTCTTGGGGAGGGAGGGGGAGAAAAATTTAACATTCAAAAGCTTATGGAAGCGATTATTGATAAATCAAAATAAATTAATAAAAAAAATATTCCAGACTGCCATGACTCCCTTGGGAAGGTGCACTGGGGCAGCAGTCTCTGATCACTGTCATCTCTTCTTCCAGGGGTCCTGGAGGAAGCTGAATTCTATAACATTGGCCCCTTGATTCGAATCATCAAAGACAGACTAGAGGAAAAGGACTACACGGTGACCCAGGTGGGTCAAAGAAAGAGACAGAAGGAAAGGGGGAGGGAATTAAAGTGTGTGTGCGTGTGTGTGTGTGTGTGTGTGTGTGTGTGTATGTGTGTGTGAGTGTGCATGAGTGTGTGTGTCTGTGTGTAAGTGTGTATGTGTGAGAAAGTGCTTGTGGGTCTCTGTGTGTGTGTTATTCCTATAAAAATGTTGAAATTGTCCATCCTTGGGATGAAAAGCCAGCCTTTCATGGGCTTTGGGAGGTCTTTGGCATATCCAGAGGAGTCAAGTTCCCAGAAGACAGAAGGCCCTTGGCTTGGGAGCCCAGAGATCAGGCTCAAATCTAGTCCTGATTTGACTTTCACCAGATGGCTGCATATTGCAACCAAGTCCTTCCTCTTCCCTGAGCTTTAGTCCCCACAGGTGAAGCTTGAGTCTATCAATCAATCAGTAAGCATTTATGAAGGACCTACTGTGTGCTAGGCACTATGGGGACTAAAAGAGGCAAAAGAAAGTCCCTGCCCTCAAGGAACTTAAAAACTACTGCGGAGATGATAATCAATCAGTAAATATTTATTAAGCACCTACTGTGTGCCAGGCACTGTGTTAAGTGCTGGGGACATCAATAGTGACAAAAGACAGTCTCTGCCCTTAGGGAGATTACGATCTAATGGGGGAGACAATGTGCATACAATTATGTATAGAACATGCTCTATGCAGGATAAATAGTAAATAATTATAGAGGGAAGGCACTGGGTTAAGAGGAGTCGCTGTGATAACAGCTGTCTCTCCTTGCTTACAGGCAACATGCTATGAATATGGGAATAAAATGGTAAATACTTTCATTCTAGGCTGAGCATTGAGGATAAGAAGACAAAAATTCCTGCCTATCCTTGATGGGGCCATGTGCTTTGGAAGTAAACACAGCACAGTCTAGACTTGGCAATGGGAGATCTGGGTTTGAGTTCTCAATCTGCCCCGAGATAGTGGGGTGACCTTAGGCAAGTCACTTCTCTTGGGTCTCAATTCCCTCCCCTGTAAAGTGAGGGAGATGGATGACTTCTGACATCCTTTCCAGCTCTAGAGCCATGATCCGATGGATAACCATTGGCAAGTTGATTAACCTCTCTGAGCCTCAGTTTCCTCATCTGTGAAATGAAGGGGCTTGACTGGAATGATCTCTAGCTCTGACAATCTATGACTATGAATCTAGAATATAATTATTGTAGTATTATTCTCTGCCTCAAGGAAGAAGGGAGTGGGAAGCAACCTTTGGGCCTCAGAGACAGAATGAATGGAGGGCAAAGGCTATAAAGAGATGTCCTGCTTCAGTGGAATGTGTGCTAGTGTGGACATTTGAGAACTCTGACTGTATGACCTCAGACAAGTCATTCTCTGGGCCTCAGTTTCCTCATTTATAAAATGGAGGGGCTAGATTGGATGGTCTATTAGATCCAGCTAGATCCAAGATGGCTCCTGGGAGGAAAAAAATGAGCCCAATTCTCTCGATAGGAGAGATGGAGGTTGAGAGAAATCTGAGCCCCAGGGTTTGATTTGGAAGGCAGAAGAGTCACTGGAGAAAGACATCATTTTTCTTTGGGAAGCCTATTGTAAAATGCTCTAGGAACAACTTCCAAAACCCCACTCATGGAGGCAGGAGACCAAAGCTCACATCTGGGCTCAGCCAGGACCTTGAGCTCTGTCCTTGGGCAAATCACTGTCCTATCTGGGCCTCAGCTTCCTCATCTGGAAAATGGGAACAATGAACCACCTGCTACACAGAACTATTACAATGACTGATGTTGGCACTAATAACAGCTGGCATCTACCTAGTGCTGTGAGGTTTGCAAAGTGCTTTTACATACATAACCTCACTTGGGCTTCATAACACATCTGTGGTGCAGGTGTTTTGAAACTGTATTGTATAGGTTCATAGGAGCATAAACTGGGAGCTAGAAGGGCCCTCAGAGGCCATCTAGTCCAATCCCCTTTTTTTACAGATGAGGAAACTGAGGCTCTGAGGTCAGTGACTTGCCCAAGGCCACACAGGTAACAAGTGGGATTTGAACCTTCTCCAAACCCAACATTTTTTCCTTTGCATTGTGCTGTCTTACTCCGTGTTCTCCTTCTTTCCCAAGGCAAGAGTTGCCAGTCTCTATCTTGGCACCATCCCTCACATCACTCACACCTGCTTCTTCTCTCCGCCAGGTGCCTCCCAAGCATGTGTACCGAGTCCTGCAATGTCAAGAGGAAGAGCTCACTCAGATGGTCTCCACCATGTCTGATGGTTGGAGGTTTGAACAGGTACAACAGGGCTGGGGATGGACATAGGGCAAAATGGAGGTAGGTGGTGAGAGGAGTATGTGTTTTTAGGAATTGAACAGAAAGGCTTGGAGCTGCCCTCACAGAGCTTATAGTTGATTTGGGGAATATGAGAGAAAGAGAGAGAGAGAGAGAGATCAATGAGATGGATGATAGATGAATGGATAAATAGATAAGTGATAGATGAACAGTTAGCTAGATGGATGGATGAGTGCCTAGATGGATTTATGCATGGCTAGATAGGTGGGATGGTAAATAGATAGATGAATGGATAGATAGATAAATGAATGGCTAGATAAATGGATGGATGAATGGCTAGATAGGTGGATGATGGATACATAGATAAATGGATAGATAGATGGATAGATGAATGGAGATATATATATGATAGATAAATGGATATATATTTATACATAATAGATTTATAGATGATAGATGAATGGATATATAGAGAGATGAATGATGGATGAATAGATAAATAGGAGGAATGGATGACTAGATAGATGGATAGATAGAATGAATGGGTAGATGGATGGATGGATAAATAGACAAACAGACAGATATGATAGGAAGCAGAGTATGATAAAAGCAAGGACTAGAAAAAGTGTTATAAGGATTATGAGGAGGGAAAGCTTACTTCTAACCAAGGATTTCAGGAAAGACTCCTGAAAGAAGGGGCACCTGAGCTGGATCTTGAAATAAGAGAAAGAGTTCAACCTGTGTGAAGCAAGCACTTTCTAGGAATGAAGAAGGTTGGCTCACCCAAATGTAATGGAGGGTAAGAGGAGACAAGAAAATAGCTACTCATCCCGTTGGCCTGGAATTTAGGGTTTGTGAAGGAAAGGTGAGTTGAAGCCAGGTTTCATGGAGCTTTAAATGCCAGGCCAAGAGTTTGCCCTTTATCCTAGGAGCACTAGGGGGCCACTGATAGCTTTTGAGCAAGAGAGACACAACATTGGTCTTGTGCCGTGTGAAGGTGACTTTGGCACCTGTGGAAAGAATGGACTGTTGTTAAAGATTTCTCTTGGGCATACAAAGACCAAAATGAAATAATGGGTCAGTCCCTGCCCTCAAGGAACACATAGTCTATCAATTTTTTTACCTAAACTTTTTAACCCCCTTTATGCCAACACAGCGTGCTGCTCACAGTAGGCCCTTAGTAAATGTTTATTGAAGAAATGAATAGTGGTTGGCCCACATGCCTGCTATGGAGAGGCAAATTAGTGGAGTACATGGAATCAGGAATCTAATCCTGATTCTACTGCCGTTCATCAGTTACGTCAGTTTGTCAGTCATTTGTGTCAATTATTGTCAGTCACTCAATTATGTCAGTCAATCACGTCCCCTCTGTATTTCTCCATTTCCTTATCTGTAATGAATCCTGTTGGGTTGTGCAGGATGAAGAAGTAACAGCATGTTTTAGCATCAGTAGTGGCAGTCTCATTGTTATCATTGTCTGAAACTTTTCCATGCTCTTCCTTTCTAGCTGGTGAACATTGGGTCCTCTTATAACTATGGGAATGAGGACCAGGCAGAATTCCTGTGTGTCGTCTCCAAGGAGCTGTACAACTCTCCCAATGGACTGAGTTCAGAGCCCAGCCGGAAAGCCAAGGTGAGACCCAACTTTCAGGCTGATCTCTCTGCCCCACTGAGTTTCTCCTTCTCTTCCCCTTCTCCTAGCCTGCCATTCCTGTTTCTTTTGTCTTCACCCTTCCTGCTCTGGCATCCATTATGCTCCATGGTCACAGCCATCCCATCCCATGCTGTGCTCCTGTCTGTGAGCGCATCCAAATTAAGCAGGCTCAAGCAGGGTAGTTGTTGGGTTACAGAGGTCATGGTGAGTGTAGACTCCTTTTATGGGCTGAGTGAGAGGATCCTAGGGCTTAGACCAGGAAGAGACCTTAGGGAACCTTAAGTCCACACATCAGGAGATTTGGTGTGGCCTGGTACATGGTGGTGCTGGAATCTAGCCAGCATTATGAAGTGGACACTAGGATGGTCTCAACTCAGGACTGTGAGCACTCAGGAGAATTGGATTTCAGTCCCCTTTCTCCTCCTAATTCCCAGTGCGAGCAAATCATTTTAACTCTCAGGGTCTTAGTTTGTTTATTGGACTTAGATCCCTAAAGTTCCTTCTGGCTCTGAAATCCTCTGGTTCTCTTTGATGGATGAGAGCCTATAAAGGTAGTCTGATCATGGCCACAAGGATCTCCTTGGCCTAGCTGTGGCTTCCTAGGTGAGGGCTTCAGAATCTGTCAGGAGTGAGTTAGGACCTGAATGATTGAGTCTTTTCCCTTTCTAAGCTGGCTGGGTGACATTAAGTGGACCCCTAGGGAGTGCTGTCTGGCCGGGGATGCCTTTGCATCATCCCAGCATGAGCACCTGCCTTGGGGAAGCCAGCCCTCCTTCTTCATCTGATGGAAATAACTTTCTCCTCTCTGCTGGGTCTGAGCTTTTGTGTGGCTCTCCAGCTAGCCCTAGAGGCTGAGCCCAAGAGGCTATCTGACTTTTTTCTGGAAGCCTCTGGGTGGTGGTGGCATTTGTCTGGATTCCTGGGGGGTATGAACCCTGGATATAAAGGATGAGTTGAGATGGTGCCCAAGAACTGATAAATTCCAGCAGGAGGACAGGCTGACCCTCTCATGTCTGAAGCAGAGTCTTTTAGTAAAGGGAGGAGTTTTGCAAGGAGAGAGATGGCTGTGTGCTCTTCTTGTCAGTGGCCTGGTCTCCCCTGAAGTAGAGGTCTTTTTGTCTGTCCATCTGCCCCTATTGTAACCTCTCCCACTCTCCCTTACAGTAATGTCCTCTGTGGTTTCTAAAGCCTTGGCAAGTAGGTGCCGACCAACTTATTGATTCCAATAAATTAGAGTAGGATGAGCTGTTTTGTGACGTAGTGAGTTCCCCATTCTTGGGGGAGGTGGGGAGATCTGTCAAAGGATGAATGGAAGATCATAGATTTAGATCTAGCGTTGAACTTAGACACCCTCTAAATGCAACTGTCCCACCTTCCCATTTTAAAGATGAGGGAACTGAGGTTAAGGGGATGTTATAGGATCACCGATCTTGAGCTGGAAGGGACCTCTGAGGCCATCTAGTCCAGGTTAACCCAGGGTCTGTGAATTTGTTTTTAAAAAATATTTTGAACACCAAATATCAGAATAATTGGATTCCTTCGTAATCTTAGGTATTTTGTTTCATGCATTTCAGAACATTACTCTGAGAAAGGGTCTGTAAACTTCACATGGATGTCAGATGGGTTCATGACAAACAAAAAGGCTAAGAATCCCTTATCCATTGTAAGCCCCTCATTTTACAGATAAAGAAACTGAGGCCCAGGAAGAAGGTGTAACTTGTGTGGTGTCACATAGCTAGTAAGTGTCTGAGGAGGGATTTGAACCCAGGTCCTCCTGACTCTAAACTTTGCACCATCTACCCCTCTCCAGTGCCTGCTAAGGTATGCATTAGGAAGAGCAATGGAATGGAATGGTGGGGGATGGGAGGGGGGCAGAGGACCAAGGCTGGGATCTGCCTTCTGCTATGTGCTCATCAGGTGACCTTGGAAAATCCCATTTCCTTACCCAATTCTCATTCTCCTCCGGTGTAAAATGTGAAGGTTAGATTAGATCAGAGGTGTTCTGGAGGCAGCCAGTTGTTAAATTTTCATTGTGAGCATTTCCACCTCAAAAATCCAAAAACGCTTGATTTATCAGGGCTTCATTTATAGTTTGTGAATTGTCCAGACCTAAGAAAGTGATGGAGAAATGTTATTAATGCTAATTAATTGTGTCAGGTATACATCCCCCTATGCCCAGCATTGACCAGCATGCTTCTGGGTTAGATGGTCCGGACTGACCTCTGAGGCCTCTTCTACCCCCAAGCCTCTAGGCCTCCGGGATCTTGACCCTAGTTAGAAGGATCCATAGAGATCATCTAGTCTACCCCACACATGCCTCATTTTACAGATGAGGAAAGCTGAGGTCACGGAGGCAAAAGCATTTATTAAGTGCCTGCTGTGTGACTGACAAGGTGCTAAGCAAGTAGTGGAGCTGAAATTTGGCCCATAAGTGTCTTTCCTAAGGACAGCGCCAGGGAATGCCAGGCACAGTGGTGTGGGCACAGATGCCCAGGTCCACCAGTAAGCCAAGGTTCCTTTGAATTCCCTCTACCTCCTCATTACAAGGGGAGCAAGGCTGAGTAGGGATCTGAAAACCAGGTCCCTTTCTGGCCCTGGGGGTGTGTGTGGAGGTTGGTGGGGTGCCCACTTTCCTCTACCCACCTCTACTCCTACCTCATGTGTGCATCTAGCTTCTCTTAAAGCTATACTTTTTAAAGTACTAGAGGAGTTATGTGGGGTAGTGAATAGAACCCTGGAACTAAACTCTGGAAGACCTGAATTCAAATCCAGTTTCAGACACTTACTAGCTGTGTGACCCTGGGCAAGTCACTTAACTTTTGTTTACCTCAGTTTCCTCATCTGTAAAATAGCAATAATAATAGCACCTACCTGCTAGGGTTGTCGTGAGGGTCAAATGAAGTAATATTTTTAAAGCACTTAGCAAACCTTAAAGCTCTCTATTAGTGCCAGTTATTATTATTGTTAATGAATCCAAATTTTTATTACATTATTACAATATTTCTATAACATTACTCAAGTATTATGATATTTTTAGAATTATAAAACTATAATATTTATGTGTTATTATGATTTGTTTAGGGGTAGCTAGGTGGCACAGTGGATAGAATGCCAGGCCTGGAGTTAGGAAGACCGGAGTTTAAATTTGGCCTCAGACACTTACTAGCTGTGTGACCCTGGGCAAGTCACTTAACTCTGTCTCAGTTCCTCACTTGTAAGATGACCTAGACTGCTCCATTATCTTTGCCAAGAAAACCCCAAATGGGATCAAGAAGAGTCAGACACAACTAAAAAACGACTGAACAACAACATAATAAGATTAGAATTATTATACTATTTATATAGCATTACAATAATATATAATTGTAATGCTATATATAATATAATATAACATAACATAATACAATACAATACAGTATAATGTAATGTAATGTAATATAATATAATATATAACATAACATATAATTGTAATGCTATATAAATAGTATGATAATTCTAATATTTATATCATTAGAATGATATAAAATTATAATTATATTATTAGAATTATATAAAATTATAATATTTATATTATTAGAATTATACAGATTATAAATATTATACTATTTCTATATTATTACAATTATATACATTATGATACTTATATTGTATATTAGAATTCTAGAAAATATAATCTATTAAATCTAAAAATCTAAATTTTTAATGGACCCGCTATTGTATCAGTATTAGGTAAAGAATTCCTCCTACTTATGCAAGTCAGCTACATATATTCCCAGAGAATTACCTGGAACACTGAGGAGTTAAGTGACTTGCCCAGGGTCACACAGCCAATAGGATTCAGAGGCAGGACCTTCCTGGCCTGGAAGCTAGCTCTCCACCCACAATCCCACAAGGCCATGCTGCCTCCCCTATTGAAAAGGTGTAAAAGGATTTCAGGTTGGCTGTGAAGACAGAAACCCACACAACATAGTGGAAGGAGTGACAAGAGTCTTTGTTTTAGAGTCGGCAAACCTCAAATCCCAGTGCTGACGTTTTCTCCCCATCTCTCTGACTGTGGGCAAGTCCCCTGGGCCTCAGTTTCCTCCTCTTTAATGTAAAACAAAGGAGCTGCACTAGATTGAAATCCTTTCTAGCTCTAAAACAAGGATTCTACAATCCTATGACCTCTCTAGGCCTCAGTTTCCCCTTACATAAAAGGAAAGAATTGGACTGAATGACCTTTAGGGTCCCTTCTAACTTGAGGTATCTTCTTTAACCTCTCCCAGCCTCAGTCTCCTCATATGTAAAATGAGAGGGTTAGGCTAGCTGACCTGTAGGATCCCTTCTAACTTTAGGTTTGGGATGCTTTGCCCTCTCGGTGCCTCAGTTTCCTCCTCTGTCAAATGGGGGGCTTTGGCTAGGTGACCTCTCCAGTCCTTTCCAACTCTGAATCCTCTGATTCCCTCTGACTAATCCTTTTTCTCGCCCTGAGGGAGCCCCTTCCACAAGTCTAGGCTGGGTGCGGGGGTTGGAGAAGAGGCCGATGTGCTCCCTGCGGGGGTTGGAGAAGAGGCCGATGTGCTCCCCGCCTCCCCTCCCCTGGAGCTTTAGCAGGTTCCCGCAGCCCTCGCAGCCCCCCACCCTCGGGAGCCGTGCTCGCCCCATTTCAAGTGTCTCCACTCTTTCTTCCCTGGGTCCGGCCGGCTGGGACACAGAGCACGGAGGAGGAGCTGGAGGAGGAAGAGCGGCAGGAGGAGGAGGAGGAGGAGGAGGAGGAGGAGGTGGTGCAGGTGGATGAGGTGCAGGTGGAACCCGAGGCAGATTCGGACGAGAAAGGTGCAGCAACCCCCTGAGGAAAATGATTTTAGTAAAAGCCTGAGCGTAAAGCCACCTGTCCCTTCTGGTGAGAGTCCATCGGAGGTAGCAGCCGAGCTGTGCTAGGGGCCGGGGGGGCGGGCCGGGTACTAGCCCTCATCAGCTCCGCCCCTGCCCCCGGGCGCTGGTCATAACCATCCCTTCTCTTGCTTTTCTCTCTTTTTTTTTTTTTTCAGTGCAGCTGTCTCGGGATCCTGCTCATTCTCTCCCCTTCTCGCCGTCTCATCTTCCTCCTCTTCCTCCTCCTGAAGGGTCCATCTCATCTTCACCCACTTCTGCCTCCTCCTGGATCTCATCTGCTCCCTGCTTCCTCTCTCTCACCTCTTGCCCCTGTTTCCTCTCTTCCTACTCCCCCCTCCTGAGGGGCGCTCACGCCATCAACGCTCCCTCAGGGCACGGTTCCTCCGACGGCCAGGGCAGCTCAGTGTAATCCCCAAGCGTGGGGTTTGGAGTCAGAAGACCTGGGTTCAAATCCCAGCTCTGAAAAATGAAGGAGCTGGGCTAGATGGCCGCCAAGGTCCCTTCCGTCTCCAAATCTAGAATCCTATGGACTCAGGCATGTCTATTTCCCTCTCTGAGCCTCAGTTTCCTCACCTGTCCAATAAGTGGGTTGAACTAGATCACCTCTAAAACCCTTTCCAGTTCTGGATTCTATCACTGTAGAGTCTTCCTCTTCCTGGCTGCTTCCACACTTTCTAGAGAGGAGTCGTGCCTCCTCACCACTTTGCCGGCGCCTCCTCTTCTAGCCCCGGTCTCAGGGCACGCCTCCTTTCAGGCTCCTCTCCGTACCCACCCAAGCCTGAGGCTGAGCTCCGTTTGACGGACTCCCGTCCTCTCCCTCTCCTGTAGAGCTACCAGCTCTTGGTGTGGAGCTTGGGCAGCGATGGGGGTGTGAGAGGAAGAGGGTGTACCTTCTGTTCACTTGACTACAGCTAAGCAGTTTTTTTTTTGGTGGGGGACTGACTTTTTTTAATCTCCTTTTTTCTCGGTGCATTTCCATCCTGGTCTGGGGTTCAAGGCTAGGAGAATGAAGATGGGGCTGGGTGGGTGGGGTGGGGGAATAGAGACGTGGACACACTTGCCCACATGCGGCAGGGCCCAGATAAGAGGGAGAGAGAAGAGAGGAAGAGGCCCAAGCATCCAGGTGGCTCCGGGTCCCGGGGCTTCCTCTCCCGAGCTTCCCAGAAACCATCATCATGCCTTCTCCGTGAATGAGATCCTTTATCCTCAATGTCCATGATGTAGGCAGCCCGGTTCTATGGATCCAGTCGCCTGAGGCCTTGCACAGAATGAAGGTCCTAAATCAAGGCCCTAAGGCAATGAACTTGGCGTCAGGGGGACCTGGGTCTCATGCCTGCTCTTGGCCCGGCCAGTTGACTGCGGGCAAGTCGCTTCCCCTCTTGAGGACTCAGTAGCTCTCTCTGCAAAGGGAAGGAAATGACTGGACTAAATGCTCCCTCCCAGAGCTAGCAGGCTGGGCTGTCTCCCCTCCTCTGGACTTGGAAGGGTCATTGTTTTCCTGGGCTCTGCCCTAGAGCCTGATTTGCATAAGGCTAGTGCCAGGGGTGGAGGTGGGGAGAGGAGAAGAATGGGAGGGATTTGAAGGGGAGGGGATTAAGGACCACTGGGAGGGACATGCCTCTTCATTCTTTCATTGCTGAGGCAAAGGCTGGAATTCCTGGGCTCTAGCCCAGTTTTCCGCCTGTCTCTTCAACGTTTCCATCCTCAGCCTGATACCTGCCCTTCTTCGAGACAATGAATGTGACTTACCTGCTCTCTTCTCTCTCTCTCTCCCTCTCTCCATTTCTGTCTCCTATTCTCTACCACCAACCTGGCTCCCCTGCACCATCCTCCCTGCCCTTGCTCCTGCACGTTCCCCTGCTCACTCCTTCCTCCCCCCATCCTCTCTCTCCCAACCCCTCTTATCTTTTAGCTGTTACAAGCCAGAGGCTCCCAGATGTGAGAACATTGATCATCTTCCGGGAATTTTTGTTTTCTGTTCTGAAATCTTTATTTTTGTACTATGGCCTGCGGCAGCATTCCTGGGCCGAAGCAGATTGCCCCAGGGGTTACCCTCACCCCTGTCCCTTTTAGGTACTCCCTCTGGTTCCCTCTCCCCCCAAACACAGGAGATGATGCAATGTATTCACATTGGTTGATCAGGCTGGGGTGGGGGCAACTGAGATGGGAACTTTTACATTTCAGCAGTGACAACATGAGGGCAGGTATCCAGCCTCCTGGGCAGGGGGCCTTCTCCCCTTCCCCTGGGAAAAATGATGAAATAGTGTTCAGTTTTCAGGGCCCTCAACTCTTTCCCAGTTCTATTCCTCTCACCAGGGAGGAAAAGTATGAGGTAACCTCACTAAGATGGGCTCAGTAACATCACCTCTGGTCTTCAGTTTCCTTGCCTCCAAACTGGGGCTGCTAGGCCTTGCCTTGCCCACCTCACAGGGCTGTTGTGAGGATGGAATGAGCTGACAATGTATGAAAATACTCAGAGAAACTATTGATGCAAGCTCTACTCACAGCCTGTCCTAAAGGGATTGGCTTTTTTTTCTCCCCAAAAAAAATGTTGCTCAGGGAGACAACGGTATTTAACTCCAAGGAATGGGTCATTAATGGTGGAGTTTCAGGCCTTGGTGGGAAGACATTCGGATGGGGAACACGCCTCAGAAATAAAGACAAATCTGTCTCGAGGTTCTTCTCATCTTCCTTGGCTTTCATGATGGCACCCTTTGATAAAAATGGGGAGAGCCATACCATACTCTGCAGAACCAGCTTCTGCCTCAGTTCAGCTTTGTGGATTTCAGCTGCTCACTGATGCATCAAGCTGACCCTTTTCTGGTTCTGTCTGCAATAGTCCCCTCTCTCTCTTGTGACTGCCCTCCTCTGTCAGACTGTTCCAGTCAGGAGAAAGAAGACCTTGTTAGCATAGCTGGGGTGCCCCTGAAGGAAGGTGAAGGAACAGGAATGGAGGCAACTCATCCTGACCCTCAGAACTGGGGCATGGGGCTGAATGAGTGAGAGTGTGACCCTAGGGAGGCGCCCCTCTGTATCCTGGGGACTGAATCATGTTGGATGCAGCCTTGTTAATAAAACCTTGATAGAAACCTCAGGCTCCTGACTCACTTTTCTCTTGGGGAGAAATCGGGGCAGGGAAAGGAGAGAAGTGTGCCTAGGTTCAAATACCAGCTCTCACATTGTGTGAGGAACCTTGAATCCCTTCCTCTCTCTGGCCTTCTGCATCTGTCCAGTGAGGGGCTTGGAATAGAATCCTCATTCACCATCTAGTCCAATCCCCTCTCATTGGACAGATGGGGAAACCAAAGCCTAGAGCATAATGACTTGCCCAAGGTTACTCCAGAAGAAAGTGGAAGAGCCAGAATTGGAAGCTCTGGCTGCAAGCCCAGGGTTCTTTCGCTGCAACATCATGGCTCAGCTTTCCATTCCATGATCCTTGGACTCCAGAGGGAGAAGGGCATTTTCCCAATGGCAGTGGTAGAACCTGCCCTGTTCCTTTGGGAGAGAAGGCAAGGGGAGAGGGAGAGGCTGTAGGCCCAATCATGGGCATTCAGGCCAGGAGCCTTGACTGTGTTGGCCCTAACATTAGCAAGACTGGGCTTTTCCAAAAAAAAAAAGACTGGGCTCTTCCAGGGGTCGCAGGGCTGGGAATAGTTCTGTCCTTCCACCATGTTTTAAGGTTGTCCCCTCAATGATTTGCTGCTAAGCAGAAGAGTAAAGGGGAAGAAGTCCAAGGCTAGCCAGATGGAACACTGTTGATTCCCATATTTCAGACACCATCTCAGCAGCTGTTCTCAGCTGTCCTCGCTGCTTTGGCATGGTGGTGTGGTAGAACACTGGATTTTGAGTCAGCAGACCAGAGTTCTAATCCTGCCTATGTGACCCTGGGTGAGTCACTTTCCTCTGCTCTGGGCCTCAGTTTCTTTTCAATCAACCAAGCATTTATTAAGTGCCTACTATATGTAGGTACTAGGAAGTGATGAAATCCACGAGTTGATATTCTATCCTCCATAAATTGAGGGGGTTGAGTGAGGTCATTTCTAATGTTCCTCCTAGCTCTAAATCCAGTCTGGGATCCTATAATTTTGGAGAGGAGTCAGATGAAAACTGGACTCAGCAGGCTGTTAAAGCAGATTTATTCTGGGCCAAGTCTCAGTGAGTGACTTTCCTTCCACCTCCCTTTGGCCAAGGAGATAGTGGGAACTGGAGGTGGGTAGAAGAACGCAGAGAAGGTTTGAGAAGGTTTGAGTCCAGGTGAGGGGCAGGGAGATGGAGGAAAGCTTCAGATCTGAGAAGCCTCTTTCCCTCTTTGGCTTATGAAAAATCCCTGTAGGTTAGAATGGGAGCCAGAGCTCCTTTTACAGATGTGGGTGTGAAGTCAGGCTGGCTGCTCCCCTTACCTCAATTCCCCTGGCATCTCTGCTCAGGCACCTCCTCACCCCCAAAGCATGGAGGCTTGTGGAAACCCTCATTCTGTCACATTCAAAAGCGGGGGGCTTATTCTTGAAAAGCTGTTTGTTTTGAAATTGGCTGAGAGGAAGGGGGCTCTCAGGGGGAATCATCCAGGATTTGGGCTTCTGCCCACTGTGAGTCCAGAGCAGTTCCCCCATCCAGTCAGACCTGCCAAAGGGCTCCAGGCTGGGGTGGCCTCTGAGAGCTGATAAAGGGTCAGGGCACAGAGGAGGATGGGAAGAAAGGGAAGTATAGGATCGTCACCAGCCTAGTGGACCTTTGGAGAGGATGCTGCCTGCTGGTGTTTGGAGGGAAGGTGCCTTCACCACCCAAACATTACTGGGGCCTGGCCAGGTCAATTCCAAAGTCACATCTTTGCATCTCTTGTGGTGGGACAAGGAAGCAGGTCAGGAGGGTCTCCCAAAAGGACAGAGCAGGTAAGGGATGTAGAACAAAGTAGGTGGTCTCAGCCCCACAGTTACTGCCTCATTCCTCCCTGGAAAAATCCGAATTCTCCCACCAGCTGGGTAGAACCCTCCCCCCCCACACACATACACAGCCCTCCACATAGGAGAGGCAGAACCAGCTAAACAGGGCTTCTGAGCTCTTGGGTGGGCTCTAGGCCGATGGATGGCCACAGCTGGGCCGGACGGATGCAGCATCTTCAGGACAGGGTCTGCTGGATCCAGCCCATCACCCGAGTGATTCTGGTGTAGACTCCGAAGTAGTTCGGTCTGCCACATCCCAGGCCCCAGCTCACCACGCCCGCCAGGAACCACCGGCCACTGGACTCCTTGCAAACTAGTGGGCCTCCTGAGTCACCCTAGAGAGAAGGAACCAGCCACAGCTTAGAGCCACCCAGGGGTTCTGGTTTCTAGAAGATTAATGATTACAGTGAACAAGTATAATGCTTTGAGATTTGCAGAGCACTTTACATATATTTTTTTCACTTTACAGATATTATTAAGTGTATGTAAATGTGTCGTATATTTACAAATATTTTATTAAAACATGTCATTTTAATTTTATATAAAATTAAAAGTTATTATATAAGATTAAAACATGTCATTTTTAACATTAGTTTTGGAGATTCAGGGAGGAATTTGCTTTGCCCAACAGTCCTCAGCAGTACAAATTCGATTGCTCTTTGCAGAGAAGGAAACGGGGAAGTGACTTGCCCAGGGTGATCCAGTTAGTAAATATCTTAGGCAGGATTTGAAGCCTTCCCACGTTCTAGTATCTGCTCTATCTACTATGCAAACTTGCTGCCTTGAAAGAAGCACAGTTCTCCTAGACGGGGCTCCAGTTCAATGTGGTTGAGAAATACTAGCCAAGGGACTGGGATACTCGCTTCTTTTAACTAGCTGGGTGATTGGGGCAGGATGTTTAAACTCTTTGGACATTGATTTCCTCATCTGTAAGAAAGAGATAATAAAGCCCTACTTGCACATTACTATTGTGAAAACCAAAGGGCAGAGGGGGTAGGGATGTGCTTTTTTTTAGGCAGTTGGGGTTAAGTGACTTGCCCAAGGTCACACAGCTAGTGAGTGTCAAGTGTTTGGTCTGAGGCTGGATTTGAACTCAGGTCCTCCTGACTTCAGGGCTCTATCCACTGTGCCACCTAGCTGCCCCCAGGGATGTGCTTTTAAAAAGGATAAAGTATTCTACACAGAGCAGAAGCAACTCTTTCCAAGCCCCATGCCCCACTTTCCCCTGATCCCCAGCCTGGCCTTACTACCCATCCCATCTCTAGGGTTCTGCAGGATTTAGAATGAGGAAGTTCAAATCCATTCATCTTCAGACACTTACTGCCTGTATGACCCTGGGCAAGTCACTTCTCTCTGGGCTTTAGCTTCTTCAGCTATAAAATAAGGGGGTTGGACTCACTGACCTCCGAGTTCCCTCAAATCTCTAAAACTGCCCACAATGCTTAAGGGCTGACCATGTGCCACGGACTGGGCCATTTTAATTTCCCCTACCTCTATGTTGGTGAGGCAGGGCTGCCTCTACCCGGCAAGGTTGAAAGAGATTAGGATTTGTAGTCAGACGACTTTTGGGTTTCAACTCCAGTTCAGAGACTGCCTGTATGACCTTAGATAAGTCACTTCTCTGGGAGACGGTTCCCTCATCTGTAATATGAGGGAGTTGGGTTAGGTCATAGGATCCTAGGTCTAAAACTGGAGGTACCCAACCCCTTCCTTTTATGTAAGATGGAATAAAGGTTCAGAGAGAAGTGATTTTCCTGAGTGCACAGTTATCAACCCGAGTCGCTGCCTGGACCACACTGCATTGCCTGCCATCATATCTTACCTAGGGAATCCTCCCCTCCCAGGAACAGTGTCAGGAGAACTGTGTTTTCTCCAGATCTGAGAAAGATTATCAATGGTGAGGGAGTGTGCTGTCATAAGCCTTAATTTTCCAACCTTTTGCTTCCACCGGGGGAAATAGATCAGGAAACAGAGGGGAACTCCAGACTGGGAGTCAAATGACCAGGGCTTTGGGGCTAGAAGGGGTCGCAGAGGTGACCTGCCTGAGAGGATGGACGCCCAGAGAAGAGAAAGTGACTAGTCCATGATCACACAGTACCAGAAGCATGATCTGAACCCAAGTCTTTTGATTACAAATCCAGTGCTCTTGTCACTGTATCCCACTAAGATTCTTGCCAGCTCCAGATCAATGATTCTGTGAACCTGTGGGTGCCTGCCTTAGTGTGGAGGCGCACCGTCCCCCGGGCTTCAGTCACCTGGCAGGCATCCTTCTTGCCTTTGCGATGTCCGGCACATAGCATCTGCGGGCTAACTTGGTAGCGGTAAGCTTCATTGCACAGGTCCTGTTGGACCAGCTCCACATCTACCTTCTGGAGGGTGCTGCTGGAGGGACCTGCCAGGTGGGGTATCAGGGAGAGGGATGAGAAGAAGCTAAGCCTGGTTGGGGTTTCCTACCTTACTTCCCCTCACTTACTTAAGTTTTCTCTGGAGTCTCAATCTTGGAGGGGTGCTGTGAAAGAATGTTGGTGTTGGAGGCGGAGGACTTGGGTTTGGGGCTTGGCTCTTGCATTTACTTCCTGTGTGACCCTGGGAAGATCACTTAACCTCCCTTGGGCTTTAGTTTCCTCATCTGTGAAATGAGGGGGTTGGATGGGATGGCCTTTGAGATGCCGTCTAGCTCTAAATGACTATCAAGTGACTTCGTGAGCTCCCCTTTCTGGGCCTCAGTTTCCTTTTTTTGTAAAATAAGGGAATCGGACTCCATGGCCTCAATCTAGGTTCCAATGACGCTCTGGCCTTCACATTTTCTCTAGTCTGGCCACCTTAGGAGTAGGATATGGTGGGATTTGAATCTACCCTTCAACACGTGGTTTTTGGTATAGAGGGTCCCATTTGGGCCCTCCCCTTCCTGACAGTTACCTACCTCCCTCTCGAAGTGCCCCCCAGCCTGTGATCCAGCAGTGAAGGCCAGGCTGGAAAAAGTGGGATGGGGCAGGCAGACAGATGGGCATGATCAGAGCTGAGCGGACCACGGGATGATCCAGCTTCAACAGGGCCACGTCATGGTTGTGGCTGTCCTCCTCGTAGTAGGGATGAAGGAGCAGGCGGCTGACCTTGAAGGACACCCCACCGGGCCAGCGAGCACCGTGGTGGATCCTGCCCAGGAAGACGGTCCAGACCGATGGGGAGGCCATGCTAGGGGCCAGGCGTGGGCGAGAAGACTTGATTAATAATGCCCTCATGATGAGTCCCCCCACCAGCCACGTGCCCCAGCCGGCCAAGCACCTAGCATAGTGGCTGGCACACAGTAGGTGCTTCATAAATGCTTGCTGCCTGGTTGCTGGGTATTACCCATGCCTGCCATAACATCTGGCACGTAGCTGGTGCGCAAGTGCGTGTGGATTGCTGGACTGATCACTCTTTGCTGTTTTACAGATGTGATTTCACTGGCTTGGAACCCTGGTCCTTCTCTCTACCGATTTGCCCCCCTTTGTCCCTTAATACCCTTCTCTAAGATCACTTGTCCACTAGAAGCCTTCCCTGATCAACCCTACCCGAGTTCAATTAATCATTCACTCATCAAACATGTCTTAAAATGCCTACTCCACTGGATTAGGCACTGGAGACTCAAAGAAAACAATAAAAGTCTCTCCCTCCAAGGAGCTTACATTCTAGCAGGGAAGACAGTAAGTGTATGTAGAATATGCGCTGGGACTTGGAATTAGGAGTCCCTCTCAGAATCAGGATTTGGATACTTACTTTGGCCTGGGTAAGTCATTAGCCAATCTGAGCATCAATTTCCTCATCTGTAAAATGGGGATAAAATAGCATCTCCCAGGGTTCTGGTGAGGATCCACTATGCTAACCGTGAACCTGCGCTCTGTAAATTTTAAAAGGATATGGACTAGATCTGGGATCTCATTGACAAAAGGGAATTTCCCTATGAGGAGACTGCTACTGCTAAGGCTGATTGGCATCTTTTCCCTAATTTACAATCTCAGACAGTTCCCTAAAGTTTTAGCAGTGATAGGTTAAGGCACAGTGTACCTACGTGGATTTCCATCTTGCTCTTCTTTTATGCTTTCATTTGGCAGGTCTTTGAGGACAGGCAGAAAGCACCCTGGACTTGAAATAAGGAAGTCTGCATTGATGCCTACTTTTCCCTACCTGAGTGACCTTGGGCAAGTCATTTCCCTTCTCTGAGCATCAGTAAAAAAGAGTGAGATGGACCAGATCACTGACAGGGGGCCTAATAGGTACAAATCTTCTGGGTTATGTGACACAAAGGCTTTTTGGACACACAGAGTCCTATACAAATGTCAGAGAATTAGAAATTTGGAGCTGGAAGGTCCAGAACTCAAGGACCATCTTTTCCAACCAGCTCCTCCTATGCAGCAATGCCTTCCATAACATCACTGACAAATTGCCATCCAGTCTCTGTTTGGAGACCTCCCATGATGGGGAACTCACTACCTCCCCTGGGAATGCATTTCACTTTGGAATAGCTGCTATTTTCTTTATGTCAAGCTCCTGAGCTTCCTCCTCCGTTACGTCCCACTGGTACCTAACACCATGTTCTGATTGTAGTCAGCACTCATTCCATGACAGAGAGAATATTAGCTAGCAATTTTGTAACTCAGGGTGAGGAAATCAACTTTTTGTTTAACGATGTGGAGAAAAAAATGTTTTTTACCAGCCCCTTGAATTTTGTGGGTATATAAAAAACAGTGAGAAAATATTCCAAGAAGTAGTTGAGGTACATTAATTTAAGCAGAAGGGGAAATTAGTTAATTTTCTGGCCGGGGTACCTGCATCAAATTTTGGGAGATCCAAATTTCAGTGCCTTAGGACAAAGTCCCCGTGGCCCCATCTTAGCTATGTCTCTGGTTCCTGGTATTGACTGACCACATCAAAGATTTCATAGATTTAGAGCTGGAAGAAAGCTTGCACGTCATTTAGTCCAAACCTTTAATTATATGGAGGAAGAAACTGAGCTTCTGGGAAAGGGAAATGACTTTGCCCTGCTCACACAGGGAGCAAGCAGCTGAGCCTGGATTTTAACCTAGCTTCCCGAACTGCTTCAAGGCTCTTTCCACTGTACTACAGAAGCCTCTGAAGCAATCAGCCAATTAAGTATTTATTAAGCACCTACTATTTGCAACACGTTGGGGGAGCTTACATTCTAATGGGGAAAAAGTCTAGTTTAGAAATGTCAAGTGGCTTATTATGCACAATTACATGGCTAGGAATAACAATCACTAGCATTTATGGGATGCTTTACATATTATCTCATTTTATCCTCACAACAACCTTGGGAAGTATGTTTTATTGTTATCTCACTTGACAGATGAGGAAACTGAGGCAGAGGTTAAGTGACTTTCCCAGGATCATACAGCTAGTAAGTGTCTAAGGATGGATTTAAACCCAGCCCTTCCTGAGTCCAAGTCCATGGTGCCATGCAGCTACCAATTTCTTTTCTTTTCTTTTTTTTTTTTTTTTTTTAGCCAATTGGGGTTAAGTGACTTGCCCAGGGTCACACAGCTACTACGTGTCAAGTGTTTGATCTAAGGTCACATTTGAATTCAGGTCCTTCTGACTTCAGGGCTGGTGCTCTATCCACTTCGCCACCTAGCTGCTCCTCCAGCTACCAATTTCTAGGAGCTTTTGATAAACCCTTCCCTGGTCACTATGGTCCCCTCCAACTATCTCTTCACTCCCCATTTGTCCTTCCTCACAGACCACAGCCCTCTTTCCTTCTCCAATTTCTTACCTGTCTTCCTGGAAACAGTGGGCTGCAGTCACCACCCATTGATCGGAGACGAGGGTCCCCCCGCAGATGTGCCGGCCCCTCACCTGCAAGCTGGCCTGCCACGGCCACTCCCCCTCCACAGACATGGCACCCCCCACAATTCTGGTGGCAGGAGCCTGAAGCCCACAGTCTGAGTTCATTGGGCCAAGAAGAATATAGGAAGAGAGAGAGAAGAGGTGAAGTTAGGTCTTAACCTTCCAGCACCAGAACCTGGCCCTCCTCACTCTCTTGTCCAGCTGTGGAGCACCTCTGGCTACCAGTTCTGGGCCACAGCTGCAGGAGAACTGAAACCCAGGTTGTTGGTGTTAGTGTGAGATGATTCCCTTGAAGAACCAGGACCCTCTTAAAGAGAAAAGATGTTTTCACACGTCTCAAGGTAGGCACTTACTTGATATGACAGTCAGGTGGCTTTCTCTTCCTTGTATCAAATGATTAGCTTTTGATCATTGTACATATCAGCCCTCATCCCCTGGTCCCCACCCAAGAACAGATTCAGGGTGTCTCTGCTGTTCAACAGTGTGGGGAGGGAGGCCCTTACCAGTAGCAGGTTGGTAAACATCTAACAACTGGCTCTTCAGAAAAAAAAAAGCATATGGGATATACTTCCAGGTTTAATCTGCATTATTACCATTTTCCTCCATCATTTTCATAGGTTTAGATAATTCACAAAACAAGAAAGTCCCTGATTTGTAGCACTTTTACTGAAAATTTAACAATCATATCCAGAGAGAACTTTGTAATAACACTCTTACTGAAAATTTAACAATCAGCTCCAGAGAGAACAGTGTGAGCTGACTCCAGCACATCCTTGTGTAGACAACATTAAAAAAAAGTGTTGGGGAAGATTCTTTAGCTTTTAAAGTTCCCCCTGACACATCTAAAGATTCAGTATCCTGTGTTGGGGACTTTGGTCAACCTGCCTCTCCTCCTCCCATTCCCCCACCCATCGGATGACTGATAGGGGTGGGTCCTGGACGACAGTCCTCCAGAGGCAGCAGATGATGGCTCTGCTGGCCATTGGCTTTCAAGCTGTTCCATTCATTTATCCAACTGATGGTCCCTGTTAAGACACTGGAATGGTACCTGCTATGCCCAAGAAAGGAAGGTATTTTATTCTCAGTTGTTCCAAAGCCACCTGCTACGTAGATAAATAGAATGTCAGATAGAGGTCAGAGGCTCACAGCTTTGGCATTGCCATTGAGCTCAATTTCCTTATTTTACAAATGAAGAATTAAGGCTCAGATCAGTAAGTGACTTTGCCACCAGGTGTCAGACCCAAAGTTTCCTGATTCCAAAGCCTTACACTTCTCTATCCACTAGGGTGCGCTGCTTCTCAGCCATGGTGGAAATAGGGATAAATAGAAGAATAGAAAGATGTCGATAGATATAGAAATGTTGCTAGGTGATTGGATGAATACATAAAGATCTAGACGGATGGATAGATAGTGATAGACGTAAAGAGAGATGGATGGATAGTTGGGGATAGAGGTATAGCCAGATAGCCCAAGGTCATGTAGCCATCATGTGTCAGAGGCTTCTGCTAGCCCTACCTTCATAGCCCTGTTTCTTGTCACTCCTATTGATACAGTCTAGGCTTTGATCACAGACCCAGGGCAGTTGGGTGCATGTGTTGTCTTCATCACACTTAAATGTGAATGGGCAAACTATGGGGACCTCATGTATTTCTGATTATGAGATCAACTCTCTATGTACTATGCCATATGAGATACGGACAGGACCAGGATAATCACCCCCAATTTACAGATGAGGCAGCTAGGGCCCAGAGAGGCCAAGTGATTTACGTGTTCAAGGTCACACAGTTGAGTTAAAGTTGGGGCAAGGTGTCAGGTTTATTGACCTCTAGGGTTATTCACCCTGTTTTTGAGGATGAGATGCTCAGCCCACTGTTGGCCTTGCCCCAAAGCAGACAAGATCCATGTTTCCCGCAGCCCCCAGCTTAGCTTGGTTCCTTACCACAGTGTAGCTCATCAGACTGGTCTTCGCAGTCAGGGTTATCATCACATTGAGGGTTGGGTTTTTTCAGGCAGCTTCCATCAGCACACCGGTATTTGAAAGCCCCACAGGGCACCCCTGGGAGAGGAGAGAGGGAGGCTCCCTTTCTCTATGTGGCCCAGATCAGACCACACCAAGAGCATCGCATTTCATTCTGAGAACCACTTTTTAGAATGGATCTTGGTAAGAGAGAATACTTCCAGATGAAGGTGGCCAAGATGGTGGGAGGACTGGAGATTCTACCATACAAAGACTGATTGAAGAAACTGAGGACGTTTAGGCTGGAGAAGAGAAGGCTCAGGGAGGATCTAAGGACTCTGGGCGGGCATTTGAGGGCCTTACACCTAGAGGAGGGACTAGCTCTGTTTTTTTGACTCCAGAAGGCAGAGTCGGGAGCAGTGGGTGTAAGTTTCAGAGACACAGGTTTCACCAAATAAAAGAATTTCAGAGCTGGAAACTCATTTAGTTCAATCTGTGTCTGAACAGAAAAGCTCTCTACAACCTCCCCAAATGGTCAGTCAGGTTCAAATCCTGGCTCTATAATTTGCTACCCCTTTGACATTGTGCAAGCCACTTACCTCCACTGGCCTCAGTTTCCCCATTTATAAAATGAGGGGGTTGGATAAGATGACTTTTTACCACTTCCAAATCTATGATCCACACACATATAGACCACTTTTTCCAATTCTAAATCATGATTTTATGATCACTTTTTGGATCTCAGTTTCCTCATTTGTAAAATGAGGGGGTTGGATTGGTTGATCTCCATGTTACTTTCCAGCATTAGGTCCTGTGATAATCTGCCATTATTACATCTTTCTCTGGACATCCAGCTTCTCCTCCTGACTTTTCTGCTTCTGTTGACTACAATCTTTCTATTCTTGTTTGATATTTCCTTTTTCCTCAATTCCCATATCCAGTTAGTTCCCAAGTCCTGAAAATTCTACCTCCACATTCTCTCTTCTGTCTCCTCTCCACTCACCCTGTATAACCACCTTCAATTGGGTCTTATCACAAAAGCCTCCCACATGGCATCCCCCAACTCCAATTTGTCTGAAAGCAGCCACATAAAATTTCCTAAAGTACGACCCTGATCAGGTCAGCCCCTTGCTCCAAAACCTTCTCTGGATCACTATTGCCTGCTCATGATTCTCCCTGCCTTGAAACCATGCTTCACTTCTTCCCAATCTTGCATTTCCATCTGCCTGAATTAGAATATTAGACTCTGAGATTGTGTGTTATACTGCTTTGTTCTCATGGCCCCATTAAAAATTATTCAAGACTCCAAAGAGTTTATGTTTGTGTGGGGTTTACCTATAGATATTTACTATATTAGAAATGAAAATGATTTATCATGAAAATAGTTTTGACCTTGTAGACCCCTCAAAAGGCTCTTGGGGACCTCCGGGGGTTCCTGGACTATATTTTGAGAGCCATTAGTATAGAGGATTCAGAGCCGGGCTGGGTGCCAGGAAGACCAGGGTTCAAGTTTTATAAACCTAATTCTGAGCTGTACAATCCGAGGCAAGTAACAACTTTTCTGACTTTCAGTTTTCCTCATTTGTAGCAGGAAGAAGTTAGACCCACTGATATGACTTGTGATCTATGGTCTTAGGAATTTTACAACCAGAAAAGATCTTCAAGGTCATCTAGTTCAATTCTCTCATTTTTACAAAGAAGGAAACCCTAATTCTGAGGTAGCTATTTGGGCCTGAGTCTGAATTAGCTAGGTGGCACGGTGAATAGTGCTGAAGTTCAAGTCAGGAAGATGGGGAGAAGGAGGGAGGGAAGGGAAGAATCGTTAAGCACCGCTGATCTGCCAGGGGTTGTGCTAAGCGCTTTACAGATATTGATATCTCATTTAATCCTCTCAACAACCCTGCAAAGGAGGTGCTATCATCACTCCATTTTAAAGACCAGGAAACTGAGGCTGACAGATGGTAAGTGTCTTGTCCAGCCCAAGTCACACAGCTAGTAAGTATCTGAGGCTAGATTTGAACTCAGGTTTTCCTAACTTCCCCATTCAACCCACTATACTATCATTTGCTCGGCCACGTCAAATCCTGCCTCCCCTGACCACCCTCAGCCCATGGTGATCTCCACCTCCCCTAGTCCCTCCACAGAACTGATTTTTTTAAAATTCATTCATTCATTTATTTTTAATTTTCAACTTTCACATCCACAAGATTTTGAGTTCCAAATTTTCTCCCCATCTCATCCTTCCCCCAACCCCAAGATGGCGTGCATTCTGAATACCTTTTCCCCTAATTTGCCCTCCCTTCTGTCTCCCCTGCCCTTCTCTTATCCCTTTCCCTTTCTATTTTCCTATAGGGCAGGATAGATTTCTATACCCCATTGTCTGTATATCTTATTTCCCAGTTGCATGTGAAAACATTTTTTAACATTTGTTTTCAAAACTTTGGCTTCCAAGTTTTCTCCCTTCCTCACATCACTGTTTGTGTGACTCTTGAAGCTCACATACATTTTGCCTCACATTAATTCTGTTTCTATATCTCACCTCCCTAGAATGAACTAGAAGCTTCCTGAAGGCAGGTGACAGAATCTTCTTTATCCCTATATCCCCCATTGCGTCTGATACTTAGGGCAGGGTATGCACTGAGTCCACACTGAATGAATAAATGTAGGAAGGAAAGAATTCCCAGATTTGGCTGGCCCTACCTTCATGGCACTGCCTTTCATCACTTCCGTTGATGCAGTCCAGGTGTTTGTCACAGACCTTGGGCAGGTGGATGCACGTGCTGTCTTCCTCACACTGGAAGGCAGATGGGCAGACTACCAGGCAAACAAATGAAATATCAGGCAGAGAAATCATTTGAGGAACTTCTGGTCTGCACAGCCCATTTCCACAGGTTCCCATTCCCAGACTCACTGGTCTTATTCCTAGAATACCTCTCTCCTCTTGGGAGGGAGAAGGGAGAAGGCACAGTGTCAAGAGATCTAGATTTTAGTCATGGGCCGTTAGTCATGGGCCTACTATTGCCAAGCTGTGTGCTTAAGTTCTTCAAAAGCTCCTTAATTCCACTGCTCTGGGCACTGCCTCCACTGCTAGGTACTTTAGTAGGCTCTCTGGTTAAAAATATCAGGATCACCTTGGTTATCCATCAGAGGATGGAGGGCCACTCATTGGGGAAGGTATTGAAAGAGGCTGTCCCTGTGGCCAATGTAAGAATGGACTTTGTTGAATTGAACTAGGCTAGCCCTCTCAGGATGGCACATAGCCCCTCATTCAGTCCCTACTTGCTGTAAGCAGAGCCTCCAAGAATCCAAAGTAGGTCTCCACCATGCCAAGATGGGTCATCTGAGCAGGATCCAAATGGAGGGATACTAACATAGGGCAGTAGGAATTAGTGTGTGTGGGAAAGGGTGGTGGGGAGTGGGAAGCTGGGAAAGGGGGCTGGAAATAGTGTTCTGGAAGCCCCAAGCCATATTTAGATAGTCTACTGAAGTTGAAGAAGGGGGGATTGTGGGAAGGGGCAAGACCTCTCACCACAGTTTCTCTCATCCAGGCCATTGGGGCAATCCTTGATCCCATCACAGGCTGGCACACAGAGGCCATTCACCGAGCACAGGAATTCTCCAGGACAGGCTAGGTAACCCCATGGAAGTAGCAAAAGGAGAAATGATAGTCATTATTGAGAGCTAAGCAGACACACAGCTAAGGTTTCCTGATTCCAAGACCCTCTATCCATTGTGCCCCACTGCCTCTCTGATGATGATGATGATGATGATGATGATGATGATGACCCCATGAAAACCCAACTCATCATTCATGTCATGGCGGGATGGTGGTGGTGCAATCTTGGACAGTGAAGTAAACAAACGTCAGTCAGAGTGATGCATAGTGGTGACTTCATGTGGCTGAGGCTGCTGGGGGAGCTGAGATGTTTGACAGAAACCCTGAAACATTGGCCATTTGGGCTTTGGTGATACCACCCATTTGTCTGGCCTCTGGGCAGTGTGATGAAACTGGGATAATAACAATAACAATGTCCTCTTCCAGTTCCAGAAAACAGGAATAATAACAATAACTAACAACATTTAGATAGTACTTTAAGGCATGCAAAATGCTTTACACAGTTGACCCTCCCAGCCACCCCTGAGGGAAGGTGGATCAATATTCCCATTTTATAGATAAAGAACTGAGACTTGGGAAATAACTTGACCAGAGTCAGCATCTGAGGCAGGATTCAGAATCGGGTCTTCCTGACTGTGCACTGCACCAATGAATTGAAGAAGTGTATGACAGATTACTAGCTGTGTGACCCAGGGCAAGTCACTTAACCCTGACTGCCTCACCAAAAAGCAAATATATCTATATCTATATCTATATCTATATCTGTATCTGTATCTGTATCTGTATCTGTATCTGTATCTGTATCTGTATCTGTATCTGTATCTGTGTCTGTGTCTGTGTCTGTGTCTGTGTCTGTGTCTGTGTCTGTGTCTGTGTCTGTGCCTGTACCTGTACCTATATCTATATCTATATCTATATCTATATCTATATCTATATCTATATCTATATCTATATCTATATCTATATCTATATCTATATCTATATCTATATCTATAGCCATAGCCATAGCCATAGCCATATCCATATCCATATCCATATCCATATCCATATCCATATCCATATCCATACCCATACCCGTGTCGGTGTCTGTGTCTGTGTCTGTGTCTGTGTCTGTGTCTGTGTCTGTGTCTGTGTCTGTGTCTGTGTCTATCACTATACCTATACCTATACCTATACCTATACCTATACCTATACCTATACCTATACCTATACCTATACCTATACCTATATCTATATCTATATCTATATCTATATATCTATATCTATATCTATATCTATACCTATACCTATACCTATATCCATATCCATATCCATATCCATATCCAATCCATATCCATATCCATATCCATATCCATATCCATATCCATATCCATATCCATATCTATATCTATATCTATATCTATATCTATATCTATATCTATATCTATATCTATATCTAGCTATATATAGCGAGGCATAAGCATCCCTCCTCCCCTCCAAAAAAATAAACTCTGATATTATGATCGGCTTGACACAAAGGACGGTGGAGTGAGAGCCTCTCCTCTGTGCTCTGGTACCACAAGAAGGGGAGATCCATCAGAACAAATCAGAAATGGGGTTTTCAAAGCCTTAAGCCATGTTTAATTAAGTATTGTAATTCCTACTCAGAGGGAAAGTTGGGAAAGGGGAGGTAGACCAAGGGATGTTGATCCCAGTGGCTGGAAATTCTTCAGGGAAGATGGCCCCTGACCACTAAAGTGGTCAAATAATGAAACAGTGTGAGATGGACTGATATCACCGGTGGTCCATAGTTTGTTTTTATTTTTTGGGGGGAGAGGGTGTGCAGTTCTGCACATCTGCGACTTGAAAATTGACAATGACCCCATTGAAGTTGTTATGGTAATGATGGAGGAGCCTGGAATACACCCTGATTGAGCTCCCAATGTGGAGAAAGGGGGCAGGGCCCAATGGACACCTAGGCTCCAATATTTCAAGGAAGAATGCCTTCATCCTTGTGGGGCTTATCTTCCTCCATCGTAGGAGATCACAACTCTTCCAGGCCTTTATAGATGGTCTTGTGAGTTGCTGGGGTCAGAAGAAATCCCCACTTGGTGGCTAACCTTCTGGTGATGAGCCCTTGAATTTAACCAACCTGTTCCTTGGATAAAAGACACAGAGCTCATCAGGAGCCCTATATTTGGAGACTTCTAATTTGGATCTGTCAGAGTTAGGGCTTTAACAAGCTGGAAGAGGACAGTGGGGTAGAAAAACTCCTAGCATTTGCTAGGAAAATCACCTTACTGATGATCAACTGACCATACCATTTCCATTGTTACCTTCATCTCTGAGCACAAACACATGAGTGTGCACGCTCCCCATACTCACGATCTGACTGATTATATAAGCTGTAGTGAACCTGCACACCAGGGCCTGTGAGGGAGATCTGGGAGGTAAAGTTGATGGTGATGCCAGCAGAAGTTACCACCGGGATCCTCTCTGCATAGGCTTGTAGGGTCCGAAGGCCACACAATCTGAGGAGGAGAAAGAGGAAGGTTAGAGGAGGGGAGGGAAGGGCAGTGAAGAAAGAGCACTGCAATGACTTAATTCGATAAGAAAATTTCACACAAATATTAAAATCACTTGCTACAAACATGGCCCCATGGAGGGGACACGACTCTTTTTCACACCAAGTCCTTTTCTCCTCTGCCTTGATTGAGTGGGTGAATTGGGTTGTAGACCTTCAGGCATCCCATTTCTTGATGCCCCCTGGTGGTGAGCCTACTTTCCAGCTCGCCTATGTCCTTCCCAAAATGTGGTGCCCCTTATAATCTATGGAAGGGACACTTGCTTTAAAGATTGCAAAGGTTTTACTTATGGGGTTTGATGAAAGCAGGGCAGGGTAGCCTGTCACCTCCCTAGTCAATGGAGGAAGATGATATGTGCACATATAATTATGTACAAGACATAGAAAAGTCAAATATAAGATAATCTTGGAAGAGAAGCTACTAGCAGCTGGGACACCAGGAACAGCCAGCCTCCCCTCTCAGGCTCTCTGCTCTTGAAATGGCTCCTCATCTGTGCTCTCAGAAAATTCTCAAATCCCATTTCCTCCAGGACATCTTCCCTGATTACGTACATCACACTTCTAATTGGAAATTATCCAATTACATACTTTAGCATGTAACCATATCTTGTATCATTCTTGTAGGGTATGTGTGTATGTGAGAGAACTGTCATTTAAACCTACTGAAAAGCAAAGAAATACAAAAGCAAACGCACTTAGTACAAAGGCCAAGCCATCTGGGGGTCAAGTATCAAAAAATTTCTAACAAAATACAGAGTACTTTGAACAGAAACAACAAAAGCTGAGAAATCAAAACTCGCCCCAGCTTAGGAATTAATGTCCAATGTTGCCATGAAGAATTAAAACGGGCCTGACCAACACGAGTAATTATGCACCCTGTTCATATGCCAATGACACCCCCCAAATAAAGGGCTAAAAGAATTAAAACAGTACAGCAGGTAAATTCAGTGACAGGGGAACTCAGTGATGAGGGAACGTATCGGGGACAAGGAAAACATTAAATGGAGTTAGCATTAAGGTATTCTCAGTTCAAGATGAACAGTTTGGTGGGATGGTAACAAGGACTAAAGACCAGGTGGCCTAGCAGCCGGTGGAGAAGGTGGAGAACAGTGGTCAAACATACATAGTTGCTTAAAGGAGTTGTTTTTAAAAACAAAAACAAATAAAAACCACCAAGGCCCCAAACTCACACACCAGTTTTTTAGAACAGGTAGAGCCTTTGGTAAATGAACAGAGTGACTTCAACAAATAAAGCAGACTTTCCCGAGGACTGTATTCTGCTCATCATTTCTTATAGCACCATAGTATTCCATTCCATGCATATACCACAACTTGTTCAGCCATTCCCCAATGGATGGGCATCCCCTCAATTTCCAGTTCTTTGCCACCACAAAAAGAGCTGCTATAAATATTTTTGTACGATGTAGGTCTTTTTCCTGTTTTTATGATCTCTTTGGGTTATAGCCCTAGAAGTGCTATTGCTGGGTCAAGGGCATTTTCTTATATACTTTTGTTTACCTGCTCCCCAGCCTTAGCATCCAATAGAGGATGGGGGCCAGATCAGGTGGTCAATACATATTTATGAACAAGTGGAAGTAGATTGAACCAGTGGGCCAATCAGTCCATCACCCCCACCCCAATCACAGTTACAGTACTGAATAACTTTATCAAGTGAGTACATTTCTACTAAATCATTCACTCACTTAACCAACCAAAGGCATTAATTAAACTAGGCTGAATAACCCAGTTAGTTGGTCGAGTAGTGAATGAGCAGAAAGGACTTCAAACCATTGAATGAAATGAAATTATGCTGATGGTTATCAAGATTTTAATGGTTTAAGCAAAACAAAGGAATGTAATCCACAGGAAATGTATTGGGATAAGTTAAGGAGACTCAGTTTTGCCCTGTGAGGCTTGGATAAAATAACTAGCCAGCGGAGGCCCAATGCACTCATTTATTTCTATGTTGAACCAGCCCAGGAACAGCAGTGCTGCCAGCCAGGCTTAGAGAGGAAACCACCAAGACAGGGGATTGGGGAGAGCCAATATCTGCCTCCTTCCCACTCCCAAGCCCAATGTAGCTTCCATGACCAGCATGTATTCCACTCAGTCCTTAGATGGTAGAACAAATTCTTTAGTTACTCCCTTCTATACAAAACCAGGTGGTTCCTTGAACCTACAGTCTTCTCCAGTGGTAATTGATGCCTGTGAGAAGGAGCCACTGTTCCTGAAAGGATTGGTGATTAGTTCTTCTTTGATTTGGGGAGGCCATTGAGTTAATCACCATGGGCCTTGGGTGGAGAGAAAGTAGAAAGTCTACTCCCATAGAGAAAGCCAAGCAGATTCCCGGGACTCCCAGCCACTAAGCATTATCCTGGGGTGGGGGTGGGGTGTCTGGGACTTCCATTTTCATTACTAGGGGAGGAACTGGAAAAAAGTGGCTCCTTGGATTCTGTGTTCCCCCATTCCTAGGTTACTACATTCCTCCCTCTGACCTAGAACCAATGAACAGAAGTTATAGTGAGACACACTTCAACACCAAAGAAATAATAGCTTCTCAATTATTAGAGCTGCCCAAAATATCATGTAGTGTTTTGAGAAACGGTGAGTTCTCTGTCATTGGGGTCTTTCAGTTGGAGGCTAGATGCGGAGACTTGCTAGGGGATGTTACAAAGGGGATTTATGTTTCAGGTCGGGATTGGATACAAGAAATTGAGGATCTCTTTGATTCTGATTCCACTGACATGCTAACCAGGGTAGGACAAGGAAAAGGCAGCTTTGAGAGGTGATGAGCTCCCCATCCCTAAGGCTCTTCAAGTAGTGATTGGATAATAACTGGTCAGGGAGATTGCAGCTTCAAGGTAAGACTTGGTTGCTAAAAACTTTGGTAGGCATTTGTCCTTTATGTAGTTGGGCAAGCTCTAGGGCCCCAAAAGCGTCTGCTTCTTTTTTTTAATTTTTGGTGAGGCATTCGGGTCGTGACTTGCCCAGGGTCACACAGCTAGTAAGTGTCAAGTATCTGAGGCTGGATTTGAACTCAGGTCCTCCTGACTCCAAGACCAGAGCTCTATCCACTGTGCAATCTAACTGCCCCACAAAAAGCCTCTGGAAAAGCAGAATGGACTAGCAGGAAGAGCACTGATTGGGAGTCAAGTCCTGGGTTCTAGTCCTGTCTGCTATTTACTCCCTAAAGGGCCTAGAGAAATAATTCGTCTTTTCTGAGCTTTCGTTTCTCAGATGTACAAAACAAGAAGATTGAACCGAAGACCAGAGGCAGGGCAGCACAATAGGAACACTGAATTTCAAATCCAAGGATCTGGGTTCAAATTTCAGTTCTGCCACTTACTACATGTGGGACTTTGGGCAATTCATTCCTTGCTATTTTCCCCTTCTACGAGAAGAGGAGCTTGGATCGGAGGCTAGAGGCACTGGGTGTATTCCCAAAAGTCCTCACTTTACAAAGAAAGAAACTGTGTCTAATAAAGGGTTAGGGGCTTGCCCAAAGTCACAAGGTAGTAAGAGACACAGGTGGGATCTGAACCTAGTTCCCTGGATTTCAAACCTGCTCGTCCTGAGAATCAGAGACACTGAGCTCCCAACTTTGCCATTTATTAGCTTGTGGCCTCGGTTGAGCCATTTCTTCTCTCTAGAGCTCAGTTCCCCCTATAAAATGAGAGGGTTGATCTCTATGACATCCTTTCCAAATCCTGCCACCAGCTCTCAGAGGTTCCTCCTGGCTCTAACATCCCATGGCTTGGGCTTCAGAACCTGTATGAACCTGTACTTGCTCGCGTACCACCACTGGGGGGCAATCTTGAGCGAGTCTCTGTATCTAGGAACTCCACGTGTGTCATCTCATTTGAGTCCCACAACTCTGGAAGGGAGGGGCTGTTATTCTTAATAAATGTCCCCTTTGGAAAGATCTGGAATTTCACCGACATAGGGAATAACTCAATGAGTTCAGCACCTGACCAGAACACTGATAGAGGTGAAGTGACTTTTCCAGGGTCACACAGACAGCATTCAATATGGTAAGGTGGATAGTACTCTGGACGCGGAGTCAGGAGCACCTCAAAGACCTACTACCATTAGGACCCTGGGAAAATCACTTAACCCTTCTGGGTCTCGGTTTCCTCAGCTGTAATGTGAGGAGGTTAGTTTTGATAACTGCTAAAGCAGTGGTATCACTCTCAAATACAAATGGGGACCTGGGCAGCAAGTTGGTACAGTAGAGACAGCACTGGTCCTGGAGTCTGGAGGACCTAAGTTCAAATCCAGCCTCAGATGCTTGCTGTGTGACCCTGGGCAAGTCACTTAACCCTGATTGCCTCCAAGGGGAAAACAAACAAACAAAAAAACACTCAAGGGCATATAAGGAGCTCTATGTGCCACGTGTTGACTTAGTTTTAAAATGTAATGTTATCTACATTTTATTTTATTTTTATTATTTTTTGGGGGGGGCTAGGCAGTGGGGTTAAGTGACTTGCCCAGGGTCACACAGCTAGTAAGTGTTATGTGTCTGAGGTCGGATTTGAACTCAGGTCCTCCTGAATCCAGGGCCAGTGCTCTATCCACTGCGCCACTTAGCTGCTCCCTATTATCTATATTTTATTGTATTTTTATTTATTTGTTAAACATTTCCAATTACTTTTTAATCTGGTTCTGGCCTCACTTAGGAGAGTTGTGGGCCTCATAGAACCCATAGGCCACGTGTTTTGCCACTTCTGCACCTTCGAACCCTAAATCTCCAACCCACTATCCAATAGTCAATGGTTCACAGAAAGGAGATTTGAACTCAGGTCTTTCTTACCTCCTTATGTGGCTAATTCTCTAATTACTAGAGTGCGTAGCTAGGGGCAGAGCTGTAATATGAGCTCAGACAATCATCAACTGTCTTCACCGCAGAAGTCCACAGTGGTTTGGGAATGAAATGTTGGGCACAGAGTA